TCTGGCCCGCTGTCCCTGATCACAGCCATCATGCCTCGGGGTCGAAAGAGTAAGCTTCGTGCCCGCGAGAAACGCCAGCAGAATCGTGCTCAAACCCAGGGTCTCAGGGGTCCTCAGGCCACTGCAGAGAAGGAAGAGGAGTGCCCCTCCTCTCCCCCCTCCTCTTGCTCTGCTCCTGTTGCTGGGAGTGCTCCCCCAAGCTGCCCTCCTGCCTTCATTCCCCAGGAGTCTCAGGGAGCCCCACCCTCTAGCTCTCCCGATGCAGGCGTTGCCTGTGCAAGGTCTGATGAAGATGCCAAGAGTCAAGATGAGGCAAGACCAAGCACCTCCCAGGCATCATCCTCCACTCAGAGCTCACAGGGAGATTCTCTCACCAGAAAGGCGAGTATGCTGGTGCAATTCCTGCTGGAAAAGTATAAAAAGAAGGAGCCCATTATGAAGGCAGACATGCTGAAGGTTGTCAACAGAAAATACAAGCAGCACTTCCCTGAGGTCCTCAAGAGAGCCTGTGACCATCTTGATCTGGTTTATGGCCTGGAGTTGAAGGGAGTCAAACCCGGCGATCGGTCGTACACCATTGTGAGCAAGCTGGGCCTCTCCACAGAGGGGTGTCTGAGTGGTAATGGGGGGTTGCCTAAGACAGGTCTCCTGATGTCGCTCCTGAGTTTCATCTTCATGAATGGCAACCGTGCCAGTGAGGAGCAGATCTGGGAATTCCTGAATGGGTTGGGGATATATGCTGGGAGGAGGCACTTAATCTTTGGGGAGCCCCGACAGTTCATCACCAAAGATTTGGTGCAGGAAGAGTATGTGGAGTACCGGCAGGTGCCCAATAGTGATCCTGCGTGTTACGAATTCCTGTGGGGTCCCAGAGCCCGTGCTGAAATCAGCAAGATGAAAGTCCTAGAATTTTTGGCCAAGAGCAATAGCACCATCCCTAGTTCCTTCCCAAGTCTGTATGAAGAGGCTTTGAGAGATGAGGAGGAGAGAGCAGCAGTGAGAGCTGTAGCCATGGTTGCCACTATTGCCCAAGCCAGAGCACGATTCGGGGCCATGTCCTTGAGACCCTCCCACATCCAGTGAAGTCTCAGGTAGATTTTCCACTCAGAGCAGTGAACCTTCTAAGCAGTCCAGAGCAGATGGGGCTGGAGGGAACAAGATGTGTATCTTTTTTTTTTCCCTGTTACAAATTAGTAACTTGTGGTTTTATCTTTTTCTTTCTTTGTTACCAGTTTTCAAATGTTGCTCCCTTTAATCGAAGATTTATTTTGTTTACAATGTAAGTTTCTTAATGTTATAGATGACACATTTATTGCTGTTTGTCAGGTTTAAGACTAAGAGTTTTGTTGTTTTTAAACAAAT